ACTCCAGAAGCAGCACAAGGTAAGGCAAAGAAAAATAATGAAGAAACACATGTGCAGAGGGCTTTGCTGCCACAAACATCCATCCCTAGTGTTTTTAATTTTTCAATTTGTTTTGCTTGATTGAAAGTCCACTCACTAGGAACGATTTCTAAGCTACTGCCTGTATGCAAATACAATTATTCACTATTTTTTAATACTGAATTGCAAGATGGCTTACTTTTAGGAATCCAGAGGGAAATGTAATTAACTATTGAAAACATTTTTTCTTTCTCAGTCAAAAGCATTTTAATAACTTCTATTTATATACTACTTTGTAATTACCTAAGTATTTTTATATGAATCATTTGAATTTATCCTTATATTTACTTAGCCTGGGATTAAATTAGGCTGTAGTTGAGGATATGGTGGGATGGATTGTGTTTTATAAAAGTTCTATAGATTATACTGTGGCTCCTTTCTCCTTGATTAAATATTGGGATTATAGAAATTGGCACATATCTTCTAATTTATTACATGCACCACAGGTTTATAACTGATTTATACCCTTGGCCCTTCTTTGTAACCATTTGCACTTTAAGTGCATTCAATTATGTTTGAAGCTCTGCCTTTGACTCCTGATGCCCTCTCCAAGAACTTGGTGGGACAAGGAACCCTCATTTAGCACGCCATGAGAAGCCTTAAGCAGGTTGCTTAATATTTAAAGGCTGAAAAATAATTACTTGGGCTCCAAATTAGCAGTTTTTGCTTGTGTCCCCTGTGATCTATGAGCAAATTACTTTATTAGGAAATCATTAAAGCATAATTTGTTTCTATATGCTGCTGACATCAATTTCCATTTCTTCTAATGAAACTACAAGTTCTCATGATACATTATTATTGTAAATAGTATGCTGCCAGACATCGATTTGAAATTGTCATTAACCCTAACACCTATGCGTTTCTTAAAAATTTTATGAGTTTACCAAGGTTATGCCACATTTAGGCCCCCTTCACCCTACATATACACCAAGTGCTCCTTCTAAAGAGACACTGTGATGATTCTTGAAATGAATTTCCATAAATATTTTTCTACGTGCTGTTTTCCTTTTATTCTTAAAAGGTGTGAAAACCCAGCTAAATTTGGAGCATGCTGAATGAGTTTCTTATGAGTATACAAAATAGTATCTCAGCACAGGCAAAATCAGAGCCTTAGAAACTCAGCATAAGAGCAGAAATGTGTAATTATGCTAAAGGCAGGCCAGGAATCAAGATTTGTAAGGGACTAGACGCACAGAGCTTCAGGCTTAAGCTTTGTTAGAATCTTAGTCTTATTTGGGTGGACCTTTGGCACAGCAGTTAAGATCCTGCTTGGGATGTCTGCATCTCATATCAGAGTATCTGTGTCAAGTCCTGGCTACCCTGCTTTGGATCCAGTCTCCTGCTGACATGCACCCTGCTAGGCAGTAGATGATAGCTTGAGTTTCTGAGTCCCTGAAACCCACACGCAAATCACAGATTGAGGGCTAAGCTTTAACCTGGCCCAGCCCTGGCTGTTCTGGGCATTGGGAGTATAACGGCAAATGAAGATCTTTGTCTCTCTGTGCCACCCCACCCTCACTGCCATATTCCAGCCAATAAAATTAAAAAAAAAAAGAATCTTGGTTTTGATATTAAACTCATGCTTTGAAACATAAATATCTTTTGTTTTCCAATTAAACATACACCAAAAATTTCAACATGCACACTTGGTAAGAAGGCACACACAGGTATGTTCATACAAGTGACAAGCCTTCTGTACCATGCTTCTAAAGAAGCCAATTTATATATGATTTAAAAATAATTTTGCATATGCCCCTTTTCTTATTGCCTGTAGTTTCATTTGTCTACAGTCAAGTAAGAATGGATTCACTTGTCCTCTTAACGAAAGAGCACGCTTGAAAGCAGAAACATCTTCTCATCTCAATTACTTGTCATACAACCACTATTCTGCTTTGGAAAAACTTGAAATTTAGCTAAGAGCTCTTGGAAATATATTAACATCCTTGTCGCCTCTTACAGTCCCAGTTCATTTACATTTTTATCATTTTTAGAGGCCCATGAGCCCATTCCTTGAGGGTTTTTTATTTTTATAATAGAAAGTTTACTTTTAACATACTTTAATTTGTGTCATTTGGCTATGGAAATCGTAAGGTACCATAATATTTTGTGGTTCACAGACTGCAAGTAATGGAAAAAAAACTTAGGTATGCTATATTCAATTCTTTTCCTCTGTCATGAAGAAAAACAAGCTGACTGATGAACACCCAATAGCTATTAGCTGAGCTGAAACTAAAACTTTCTTTCTTTACTCTGAAACATAGGATCCACTATCCTGTGCTGTCTCAGATTTTATCTCCTGCAAAGACTTCCAGGAACATAAACTGGACATTCTTTCCTTGGAATCTCCTGTCCTGGTAATCTTTCTTCCTGCCGTGTCTCTCTCTCTCTCTCTCTTTTTTTTTTTTTTTTTTTTTTTTTTTTTTTTTTTTTTGACAGGCAGAGTGGACAGTGAGAGAGAGAGACAGAGAGAAAGGTCTTCCTTTGCCGTTGGTTCACCCTCCAATGGCCGCTGCGGCCGGCGCACCGCGTTGATTCGATGGCAGGAGCCAGGTGCTTCTCCTGGTCTCCCATGGGGTGCAGGGCCCAAGCACTTGGGCCATCCTCCACTGCACTCCCTGGCCACAGCAGAGAGCTGGCCTGGAAGAGGGGCAACCGGGACAGAATCTGGCACCCCGACCGGGACTTGAATCCGGTGTGCCGGCGCCGCAAGGCGGAGGATTAGCCTAGTGAGCCGCAGCACGGCCCCTGTCCTGTCTCTAATACTTGCAGTACTCATCTGACAGAAGTATTAGCAGCTTCCCTCCCACCAAGGAACTGCGATTCTCCATCTTGGCTACACATTAAAAATCACCTGATGGCCGGCGCCGTGGCTCAATGCTAATCCTCCACCTTGCGCCGCCTGCACACCGGGTTCTAGTCCCAGTCGGGGCGCCGGATTCTGTCCCGGTTGCCCCTCTTCCAGGCCAGCTCTCTGCTGTGGCCAGGGAGTGCAGTGGAGGATGACCCAAGTGCTTGGGCCCTGCACCCCATGGGAGACCAGGAGAAGCACCTGGCTCCTGCCTTCAGATCAGCGTGGTGCGCTGGCTCAGCGTGCTGGCCGTGGCGGCCATTGGAGGGTGAACCAATGGCAAAGGAAGACCTTTCTCTCTGTCTCTCTCTCTCACTGTCCACTCTGCCTGTCAAAAATAAAAAAATAAAATAAATAAAATAAAAAAAATCACCTGATGAGTTTTCAAATAAACCAACAAGGACATCATTTCTGGCCCTTGTAGAATAATTAGTATCAAATTTACCCATATTATTGTAACACTAGACGAAATAGAAGGCAATTGTTTTCATGCACTGGACATTCAGTTATAGGACTGTGCTGTTTGAAGGAATGAAAATGCCAAGGAGATGAAGGTGTTGTGAGCCAGAGGGTTAAGCCAATGCTTGAAATGCCTGCATCCCATATAGGTGTGACAGTTGGAGTCCTGGATACTCCGCTTCCAATCCTGCTTCCTGCTGATGCACCTGATGGCAGCAGATGATGGACCAAGGGCTTGGGCCACTGTCACCACATGGAAGTCCTAGCCCTGGCTGTTAAGGGAGAATCAAAAGATTCTGTCTCTCTCTCTGTCTCTCTCTCTCTCTATCCAAGTAGGTAAAAATAAATAAGTAAATAAAGCATTTTATATATACAAAAGAAAACAGAAAGGCTTTTGCTACAGTTTTTGTTTGGGAGTACTTTCCCAATTTAAGAACAAGAAGGTGGAGTCCAAGTCTCTCTGAGCTACGGGACCAAAGAGAAGAGACAGAGGCTGCAACTCCGGACTGCTGATTTCCTGCAAATTCTGGAGCAGGGTACTAGAAAGGAGGCAATCATCCCTGCAAGATCCAAACTGAGAACTATTGTGCCTGTGCAGGAGTGTGAAGGGGGAAGATTATGGGGCCCAGCAGAATACAGCTGCTGCCAGGTTGATTGTTCTACAGAAATAGCAGGGGCCATGAAGTGTTAGGAGACGTTAGGGGTCTGTTCTGAGCAGAAAAATGCTGAATATTGTTTTGAGAGTTGACTGCATGGTTAGTGCTTCCTATTGAATATGTTAGGTTTAGTTTTATGTTCAGTTTAAATAGGCTGGTTGTGTTTTGTTTTGTTTGTGAAGGCAAACCCTTTCATTATATGGTCCTTCTGGGTCTCTACTGAGTTTTCAGCAACAAAGAAAACCACGTCAAGCACATCATGGTTATACTGCTTAACACAGAAGATAAACAATAACTTTAAAAATAGTCATACGTCATATGCAAACGAACAAGGGTAAGAATAGAGACTGCCACCAGGAAGAATGGCAGCCAGAAGCCTATCTGACAGCAACTTTAGAGTGGTGCAGAAGAATCAAGGAAACCGAAACCACAAATCTCTCCATCAGTAATTTGAGTTCAGTGATGAGATATTCATTTAAAGAATAGCTGGGAAGACTTGTTGCCAGACATACGCATAACAGAAAACACTAAAACAAATTCTTCAGTCTGAAGACAAAAAAAAAATGGAAAAAGAATTAAAAGCACCAGAAATAGTCAGTGAGTGAGTAAATAAAAAGGTCATTTTTTTTTATTTCTTGAAAAGCTAAAAGACTATTTCAAGTGAAAGTAATATTTATTGTGAAATCCATAATGTATTTAAAATGAAGTAAAATATGTGATAAGAATTGCAAAAAGAATAGGGCATAGCAGAAAGGATGGGGAATAGAGAATTACCCTACTACGGATTTTTTACCATAAAATATTAATCTTAAGCAGACATTGACAAGTTATGGATATATTATAGCTCCTAAACAGAATTAAAATTATATAAAGGGATATATATTTGTGTGTATATATTTATTTATACAATTATACAAATATATTTATATTATAGATACAGTATATAATATATTACATACACATATACTGGAAGAGGAGGAGGATGTTTGGTGCAGTGGGTTAAATCACTTCTTGCTTGGGACTTCCGCTTCCCATATGGAAGAGTCTGGTTCAAGTCCTGGATACTCAGCTTCCAATCCAGTTTTCTGCTTGTGGAAGAGATAGATGATGGCTCAATTACTTGTGTCCCCACCACCCAAGTGGGAAACTCAAACTGTGTTATCTGCTCCTGGCTTCTGCCTGGTTCTGTCATGGCTGTTACAAGTCTATGTGGAGTGAACCAGTGAAGTGAAGACATCTGTGTTTTTGTCTCTCTATCTCTGTCTCCCCTTCTCTGCCTCTCAAATAACATGAACATAAATAAATAAAAATAAAAATACCACAATGGAGGAAATACAGTAAACCAATAATACTAGATAGTATGTAAGGAGAGCTGATAGAATGTAAGGAGAGGGGCGCAAAGAACCCAAACAGAGATAGGACAAAGAGTAAAGAAAAATGGGTGAAATCCGTCCAACCATATTAATAGTCACTACTAATGTAAATAGATTAAGTACTTAAATTTACTAAAAAATCACTTATGTTAATTACATGAGATACACTTTATTTATTTATTTATTTTGACAGGCAGAGTGGAAAGTGAGAGAGAGACAGTGAGAGAGGGTGCCGTTGGTTCACCCTCCAATGGCCGCTGCGGCCGGTGTGCTGCGACCGGCGCACAGCGCTGATCCGAAGGCAGGAGTCAGGTACTTATCCTGGTCTCCCATGGGGTGTAGGGCCCAAGCACTTGGGCCATCCTCCACTGCACTCCTGGGCCACAGCAGAGAGCTGGCCTGGAAGAAGGGCAACCAGGACAGAATCTGGCGCCCTGACCGGGACTAGAACCCGGTGTGCCGGCACCGTAAGGCAGAGGATTAGCCTATTGAGCCGCGGCACCAGCCTGAGATACACTTTATTGACACTGATAGGTTAAAAATAAAAGGATAGAAAAAGATATAGTGTGCATAGTATATTTTCAGGAAATGTTTTGAGTTCCAGATACTGCACTTCCAATTCAGCTCTCTGCTAGCGTTCCTGGGCACGCAATAAAAGATGGCCCAAGAACCTGGGCTGCTGCCACTCACCCAGATAGAATTCCAGGCTCCTGGATTTGGCTCAGCCCAGTCCTGGTTATTGTGGCCATTTGAAGAGGGAAGTAGCAGATGGAAGATTGCTCTCTTTCTCTGTGTCTCTCCCTCTTTCTCTGTAACTCTGCCTTTCAAATAAATCAAATAAATCTTTAAAAAAAACTCAAAGTAAGTTTAAAGCAATTATGAAGGGAAGAGCAGAAATGGATAAAACAATGAAAATTTAAAAATTTTGAACAAAATTTGGTTCTTTGAACAAATTAATAAATTAATAAATTCAGCACTAATTCTTCCAACTGATAGAATAAAGTTATAGAACTAAGAAAAATGCATAAATATTATAAAGCAAAAAAATTCATTTTTTCTTTTTAAATATGCAGATGAGGCTGTTTACATTAGAAATTCTATGGCATCTACCAAAATCTACGACAACTAATAAATAATCTGCGCAAAGTTTTAAGATACCATGTCAAAACCCAATATATTGTGCATTCTATGGGAAAATACTATTTTGAAAATGAAGATTAAAATATCATTTATGGAAGAATTAAAATATAAAGCAATTCAAAAAAATTGAACATGAAGTTTACAAGACTTGTTTCCTGAAAAGTAAACCTATCACTGAGAAATATAGAGCCGTAAATACATCGAGAGATGTACTATGTTGATGGATGAAATGACTCAATAATGTTAAAAAGTAAATTTTCTTCAAATCAGTCTATGTAATTCCTACAAATTCTAAATCTAACTCTAAATTTTATGTGGAATCACAAAAACTCGAACTGCTAGTAAATTCTTGAAAAGGAATATTAAGTATTTATACTACCTAATACCAAGTAACCATAAAACTGAAGTGATTAGGTCAGTGCGTCAAAGGCAGAAAGATGAATAGACAAAGTAGAAAGTCCAGTAACAGACTTAGCTGATTTCAACAAATGTTTAAAAGCAATTCATTGAAGGAAATACACTCTTAAATAAGTGGTGGTGAAATAGTTCTGAATCTTGATGTGAATGGAAGGGGAGAGGGAGTGGGAAAGGGGAGGTTTGCGGGTGGGAGGGACGTTATCGGGGGGGGAAGCCATTGTAATCCATAAGCTGTACTTTGGAAATTTATATTCATTAAATAAAAGTGAAAAAAAAAAAGTCAAAGTAAATGTAGGAAAGAGTGACCATAGTCTCTTTCTCATATCACACAGGAAGTGCTGCTAAACATATTCTGTTAAGGGCAGGGTACCAAAGTAAATAATCCCAAAATTTTGGGCCCTGTGATCTCTGCTTAAACCCAGTGAATTCTCCCACCGATGTGCAAAAGCATCCATATATAATACACAACATGAAGGAAACTGTGATTTAAAAAAAAAGATAATAAGCCAGATTTGGCCTAGTTTGCCATATCTTGTTACTAAAAGAGTTTTGGATTTATCACATGTCTGTGTTTTAAAGCTAAAATGATGGTTTCTAGTACAGAATGAGGTAAGTCAAGATTTTTTTTTTATAGTATACAAAAAGCCCTAATTATAAAAGAGAAAAATAGGTAAGTTGGACTTCTTAAAAAAAAAAAAAAAAAAAGCTTATCAAAAGACCCTTCGGCCGGCGCCGCGGCTCACTAGGCTAATCCTCTGCCTGCGGCGCCGGCATCCCGGGTTCTAGTCCCGGTCAAGGTGCCGGATTCTGTCCCGGTTGCTCCTCTTCCAGTCCAGCTCTCTGTGGGGCCCGGGAAGGCAGTGGACCCAGGTCCCTGGGCCCTGCACCCGCATGGGAGACTAGGAAGAAGCACCTGGCTCCTGGCTTCAGATCGGCCCAGCACGCCAGCCGTAGTGGCCATTTGGGGGGTGAACCAACGGAAGGAAGACCTTTCTCTGTCTCTCTCTGTCTAACTCTTCCTGTCAAAAACAAAAACAAAAAAAATACAAACAACAACAACAAACAAACAAACAAAAAAAGACCCTTCAATGATACTTAGTGAGATCTGAGAGTGGACCCCAGAAGGCCCTGAGCAGCCCCATTGCCGCCGCCCGAGGGAGGCCACTGGGGCCACCGCTCCCTGTGCCGCTGCCCGTGGTGCTGGGCTTGGTTTCTGCGGCGCTGCGGGAGGCAGCTGGGTCTCCACCTCACTGACCTCACTGCTCAGGGTTGTGGTGATGATGATTGGGGCCGGCTGCGGCAGCTCGGCTCCTCTGGGGGTGTGATGAGATTTTTAGGAATATCATTTTTAATTTGTAATAAAAGTTTACAACTTGATTTTTTCAAAAAACTCAATAAACTGCAAGCACCTGTTAATAAAGGTCTTAATTTAAAAAAAAAATAAAGAAGACCCTTTCAAAAATATTAAAAGCCATTCACAGACTGAGAACCCAAAAAGAGAGAATTTTTCTTTTCCCTGACTTTTTGGGTTCTATTTGCACTTTCAGGAGATTGTGTAAAGGAGGTTGGTTTTTTGGAACTCATTCTAATTCAGATGCTAGTATCTCCAGAAATGCTCTCTGTAAAAATACCCAGAAATAATGATTCACTAGTTAGCTGGACATCACTTAGCTTAGTCAAGTTGACATATAAAATTAACCATAATTTCAAAAAATAGTTTTTTTTTAACATAATGTTACTAAAGCTATTCATTACTAGAAATCCTCAGGGTTTTCTTATAAACATTCTTCTTTCTGAATGTGGGAATATTAATAGGGAACAAGTTCATTCTCTATGAAAAACACCCATTCACTATTCTATCTCTAGTAATACAACTCAAGAAATTAGTGGATCATAGGCTAATGATTTACTTTCAAATGAACATCTTTATATTTTAGTCAGAACCTTGGATTTTCTCGATAAGCAGTTATGTGAAATTATGGCTGGAAGTGGCAGCTCAAGGGAAGCACTACTTCAGGCTACCATTATTTAAATAATTTGACTACATGCAAAATGTTTTGTAAAGAATTCATTAGCAATTCTTAATAAAAGTATAATAATGTCATTAGTTATATAATTGTATATGGCTAAAATAGAAAAAATTTTCTTATTTTGTAAACCCATTTATTGTTGTATTCAGCAAGTTCTTTTTTTTTTTTTTTCTGTTTTGCCATCTGTGATACGTCTGGCATTGTTTTGGGCCTAGGGTTTATCAGTAAGCAACACAACACCCTCCACCCATGGAACACACGTGAGGGATTAGCAGCAGTTGGTGAAACATAATGAGGCATTCATATGACCGCATTCTAATGCTTGGGGAAATAGTGTACACGGACGCCAGTACCTCTGTCACCAATGCCATGCCAAGGAATCAAAACTGAAAGGAAAATATATAATGCCCAGAAAAATATGTAATGCTTTCTTTGGAAAAACAAGAGTTTAAACAAAAAAATTATTTTGACATTTGAATACTTAACAAGATCATAGAGATAACATATAATGCAAATAAATTCCTTGAAGCAGATGAAAATTAAGGCAGGATAGAAAGTGCTACCTAGTGAGGGTGTGACACTTCACAGTTTATCCTTCTACCAAAGCTCTTCATTGTATCCTGCTGCTTCTCCTGCTTGGTAGTATGAAGGGGAAAGGACAAGAAAGTCACTTTTCCTGTTCTGTTACAAAATTGTGTCCTGGATAACGTTTAACAATCTTATCCTAAGGCTCTCTTCATGTGTTTGTTCACATTTTCCTTGTGTGGCTCTGGAAAGCAAAGAGCGTGCCTTGTAGCTCTTTAAGTTCTCAGGGTCTGACACCTTACTAGGCATGTGGCTGCTGCGTAACATATGGGTGAATTTTTTCAGTTTGAAAATCACCAGAAACCAAAGGTGAATAAATGTTTCTAGAATATTTGAACCAAGGGTCTTTGTCTATTTGGTATTTGAAGAAGACAGGCGCCTACAATATAAATTAACAATTCAGGTTATCATTACTACAGAGTAATAGAGATTACTGGAAAGAAATGGGGATGAGTGTTTAGGATCCCAGGCGTAAACAGACAACGCCAAATGACAGTGTGCCTGGGGAGTTTATAGGGAGAGTATTTGTGGGAGTTCCAG